GGGGGGGACCAAACCCCGGCCCCCCCACTGGGGGGGGGGGGGTTCTGTACTGCTCTGATTCTGTCAAATCCAAATAAAATGATTTATATTTTAGTAGAATGTTCTCTGCAGACGGTTCTCATCACTGAAGGGGAAGTCCTGATTATTGGGGGTCGCGTGTCATTGCCTAAAAATGAGCTTAGATCCATGTCACAGTCACATGACGTCGCGTGTCAGCAACACGCTTCACCGTCATCTGCATTGCCTACATGGAACTGACACCAAAAACCCTTAGCGAGTGTGTGGACGCCGGCCGGGGCCCCTGCGCGGTGCGCGGATTTATTGGCGTGGATATAACGTGCTTTGAGGACATCACATTATATAAGACACATATCGGGGAACGTGCGTCGGTATTTCCGTGAAAGGAACGTGCGTCGGTGTTTCTGATGCGTCTGATCAGCGCGCTGGGTGTAGTGCGGCGTTGTCCCTGCAGATAAGCGCGCAGTCATAGGGATCGTAGTAACGTTATCGCTCGCTGAGCCGCGCTGGATAAAGATCGCTCCGGCGGTATTTACAGACATACGCTCCCTTTTACTGGCTACGATATGTTAATGTATGAGGAAGTCATGTTGGTTGTTGACATCACTTCCTGGTTTCCTGTCTGACATCACTTCCTGTGTGACATCACTTCCTGTGTGAGAAAATAAAAGCTGTAGTGAGAGGCAGAGATAGATTTGTATTGAAGTATACGGGGTTTGCATCCGATACAGAAGGATCTTCATGTATACAAACAATATCCTCTATCGGGGCAAATAAACATTAAAGGAGAAGTACGGGGTCGGGGCTTTCCCCCATAGTTCTCCTCGGGGTCACACAAACCAGCGTCCTCCTGTCACCCGAGGCTCAGTATATAGGGAGCTACAGCTCGCCGTATACTGGGACGCCGCAGCGGATCCCGACTTAGATGATGGGATCCGCCCAGCTGCGTGAGTGACAGCTGGCTCCTCCTATCTAGAGGCTGTGCCCACCCCCTCCCCCGTCCATTCCACCAGTCAGCGCTGGAGGATCGGGGAGGGGGGGAATCCAGCCCCTCCCCCTGTCACGGCAGACAGCAGTGACAGGATCGAGAGGTGAGCGAACGCCGGTATGTGTTCCCGATCTACTGAGCCGACCTGTGACAGTCTCATTGTCACACCTCATTGTCACACCTCATTGTCTCATTGTCACACCTCATTGTCACACATCATTATCACACCACATTGTCACACTTCATTGTCTCATTGTCACACCTCATTATCACACCACATTGTCACACCTCATTGTCTCATTGTCACACCTCATTGTCTCATTGTCACACCTCATTGTCTCATTGTCACACCTCATTGTCACACCTCATTGTCTCACCTCATTGTCACACCTCATTGTCTCATTGTCACACCTCATTGTCACACCTCATTGTCACACCTAATTGTCTCATTGTCACACCTCATTGTCTCATTGTCAC